TGCTGCATTAGGGCTCTCTGATAAGCCTAAAGCAGGACAGAGCTGGCTTGGGTGTAGCTCTTTCTGGTCCAGCCCCACCATGCTTCTCCTGGAAACACACACACGGGACACTTCCACCCTTCTGTCCGTTTCAAGAGAAGCGCGGGGGTAAAGGACTGGGAACGGCTACAGTCTAAGCTAACTCTCTTGTCCTGGGACAGGAAACAGGAAAACCCTGTTTTAGGGTTTTCAGAGAGCCCCAAGGCAGCCTGTATGTGTGCCATAGGCCTTTTTACTTGGCTGCCCCCTTATTGTCAGTGCCTGCGTTGTGGCATGGTTGAGGGGGTCCTGCGACACCCCAGTTAAACCCAACTGTTCTATTAGATAGTAATTCCTTGGCTCTAAATTTTGAAACATTAAACGGTCTGGAATACTTCTGAATCCTATCCATCAGCTTGAATTAGAGCGGAGACTCCCCATCATTTTGCTCATTGATAGTAACTTCAAACCATATTTGGTGCCTAACGGCTGAGTACCATATTTGGCACGCAACCGTTGGGTACCACCCAAACAGCTGAGGCACCTGGATATTAAGATCCTATTTTAGAAAACTGAGGTAAAGACAGGCGTGCCTTAAAGCCTTTTTTAAAAAAAGAAAACAAAACAGCCAGATGAGCTATTTCTACAGGAAGGCCATGTTCACGCTAACACTGTTTCTAAGGAAGAAACATAAATCTTTGCTGCATTAAATTCAACAATTTACAATGAAATAAATACCTAATAACTGTGAAAGGAAGTGGCTGACGAGCAGAATGCACAAGCACCCCCAAAATGGGAACCTCTACTGATAATACCTAAAGGAACAGCTGGAGAAGCCCTCCCTCTCCCTCTGACCATATCTAGCAGTAGAGCCCACACGTCTACTTTAAGAAACTGAAGGCACCTGGCACTAGCTCACTGTAGATCACGTACATCAGTAATCTCCAAACATGGAGCCCTGAGCGAAAAGCCCGAAGAAATAAAGTTCATCTCTCAGAATTACTTACTGCATTTTCAGGATGGAAGATATAAGATGCAGGAGAATTATCTACTATAATAACTTTACTCAGCTCACGTCCCAGTCGACTCAGATCCTTCACATAATTTCCTCTGTGGAAAACACAGGATTCTCTGAAGAGTCTGGCCCTGAATACACCCCAGCGGTCCAGCAAGTCTGCTACTGGGTCTGCATACTTAAAAAAAGAAGTTTGAGAGCTGAAATAGTCTGTGCATAGATTTGGCAATATTTCCCAGAACTAAACAGAAGCACAGAAAAGGCAGGCTGGAAAGGGACTGTGAACTTCATCTAGATCAACTCCCTGCTCAAGTCAAGAAGGACAGAAAAGTAAAAGCACAATTATAACCACTTTTTCCTTCAACTAACTGGCAAACCCAGTGTTTATTAATGCCGGGGTGACAGGAGTACAGTACAGTTATTTTTCAGAAAGAAAATAACTAGCAGTGCAAAGCTTCCTATGATTTACTGATTACATAAATACATCTCACTGTGGAGTCCTTGCATTTCTCTTTAAACGCTTAATGTTACTGTGAAATGCATGAAAAAATAGTGAAGAGAAATCTACAGCACCAAACACCAAGTTCAAAGTTGCTCCTATCAACTCCAATTCCATGTGCCTATAAAGGTAAAGCGTTATGAAGGGGCAGGTGACTTAATCTAATTCATATACCTTTGTTCATTATGTGTGGTGCAGGAGGGCCAAACCAGAGCAGGTGAAAATACCATTAAGAAAAAGAGGCATATGCTGCATTCTGCTTTGGGAAACACCCAAAGGAAAAAAGGGGCAGCTCTACCACATACCTCGAAGATAATGAATGTAGTACAGCATATTAGGACATGAACTGGGGCTTGAGAAGTGACAGAAATGGCCAAAGGAAAAAGAAAGATGTAGGAAGGAAACCAGAGCATAGGCGCTTATATCCTTGGCAATTTTACTTCGCACTAGTCCTTTACAGTTTTGCTTCTGGAGTATAAGGTTAAGTGTTTTATGTGGACTTTCAATTGTGCAACAAAACTGACCTTTCTGTCAATGACTTTCCCCTACAGAAAAGTGCCAATGCCCAGAATTTGCAGAACTAGACTGGACACAACCCTGGTGACCATAAATCCAGCGCTGACAAGGATATAAACTAGATGCTCTATTAGGTCTTCTCTATCTCTATAGTCTATGGAAAGCCACAAGAAAACTAAAACATAACTTACTTTACTAAAAACAAAGATATTTAAGATTAAAAATAAGCTGATTTCATAGCAAAACTACCACCAGATATGCTCCACCAAAAACAATGCAGAATTTACATACTGAAGTCTGCTACAGAACTACCTCTGGTATAACTATGTCTACAAAAACTCAAAGGACAAAATATGGATTTTCAGATACTACATCTGTCAAGCTGTGCAAAAAGGATTCAGTTTCTAAACCCAGAGTATAACCGCACATCCACAATTCAGAGGTGCTCTCTGTATTTTTGTACCCAAGTAATTTCTGAACTAAATCACCTGGTTACACAGTTGTTGTGTTAGATATGGTGCATTGTATTTCATGCCCGGCTTTAATACACTGCTTTATGTAGTACACTATTTGTTCTAATTGCCCACTATAACCATGGTAACTTGTAAGCCTTTCATATCGGCATCATGAGCAATACATGGAGGCTACATTATGAGACAAGCCCATATGTGATATTGTTACCATGGAAACAACTTACCCACACACTAGCAGACAAAGTACACACTGTCAGACAAAGAAGCAGAAAAGAAGGGGAAAAATTAAGATAGCACTAAGAAAGACAATTATCCATAGAAAACCCAAACCAAAAAATTTGCTAACCAGCATTAAAAATACTAAGGACAAAGAAGAGTCTATGACAAACCTTGGCTAGACTGGCTGTGAAGAGTACACATTCAAAGAGTTCTCCCATTCTCTGGAGAAACTCATCCACATGCGGTCGTTTCAATACATAAACCTGGAACGACAGTAACTGTTTAGGTCAAACGATGCTTTAAAAAACAGATGAGGAGTTAGCCTAACACTGGAAAGAAAAAGTAAATGTGACACAGGGTGCTCTGTTAAATAGATAAGGAAAAGCTATTTGCTTTTATGTGCCTCGTAGCCCCCAGCTGATCATGCTGTTGCTAATAATGTGCATCCTCCTGCCGTGGTGTGTTCTGAAAATACCCCTTAAAGAGGAAGACCATCTATCTAAGTGCTGATGATTTACAACTTCTTCAGTGATAGGACTGACTCTTTGGTTGTTTATTTCTTTAATTTCTTGAGCAATTTTGGAGGTAAGCAAACATCCAACGTTTTCTGCTGTTAGCACTCTTTGCTTGTCTGTGTCGGATGCTGCTTTCCCCTCCTGCTCCGCAAATATGTATTTTTTTATGTATCCACAGGATTACTGTCTCTGTTGCATTTTGCTAGCTTTCTAAAGCTGCAAGTAAAATAGAAATGTTTACCTGCTGAATGGAGAAATGTATTTCCAATATATACTATGAGCTTTGCTGTACCACCACTTTGAATGGCTAGTAAAAATTGCTTTTAAAAGCCACAAACTAAAGACATAACCCATTCTGTTAGGGCTTTATCATAAATGCAGTAAATATTCTGAGTTTTGCTCCTTTCAGGCAGCTGCAGCTCCAAGAAGGAGCCCTTGCCTATCTGCACAAAGAACAGTACCAGTAGCTTGGCTGCTCACTGCCAACACTAAGAATAATTAGATTATTATTTGTCAAGCAAAAAACACTGTGCTGTGTGTTCATACAAGATCCCAAGACAGACAGTCCCTGTCCAGGAAGTTTACAATTTGATGAAGATGATATTAAAAAATTGGGAAGCCAAGGGGAGAGTTAAATATGTATATATTTTAAATCATGTCATCTGTCTTGTTTGCTACTGAGAGACTGAAATTGTTTGAAAGAACTTGATTAGCCATATTATATCTTCCTAGTGTAGCCAATAATCTACAATGCTAAAATTTGCTTAAATGCAAAAAAGTCTGGTAAATAATTAAAGGAGTTTCTTCTTTAAAAAGCAAAGCATCATACACAAATCAACTTAATTAATGTTTCTCTGTTTTGTGTACAAGGAAGTTACACTGCTTAACGTATGATCTTGATTAGATTAAAAGTAATACCAAAAAGCAAAAGAAGTTTAGGGATCCCATTAAGCACTGAAGGAGAAATATTGCAGAAATACCATCCTGAACTCTGCAGTGTAATAAAACCCTTCAGCAAAAGGAAGATAAAGGACGTAATAAGGACCTGAACACTGCCTAGGAGCTGTTTGATAAAAGCCCAAGTGTTTTGATGCAAATGCTAATTACTCTTCACTTCACTTTGAGCCCCTTGTCACCTGGGCACACTCATTTAAGCTATTCAAACATGGAATCTGAGGACAAATTTATCTCTCAGCTTTAATTCTGATTCCCCACTTTTGTAATGCTTTGAGTAGTCAATTAGGTAAGTATATGACACCAGTGGAATTCAGTTTACAGACAATTCTTTAGAAGCCAATGCATGTAAATGCTATTTGTTTTCTTTCCAGGTAGCTGTAGGGATGTTTTGCAGATGTTGCCAGAAGTGCAGAACTGCTTGCTCTCTTTTCTAAGGTCACAATCTAATTTCTCTCCGCATTTATATTCACAGACACCCAGAACGATGTAAAAAAATTCCTTAACCAATATACTGAAATCACCTAGCGACAAGTTCTAGGTGTTATTAGTCTTCTTCCTTTCTGAAAAAAGTCAGTGCATTCAGTTACACTAAACCAAAATGCATTAAGAGAGAGATGCATATATATGTTTAAAAAGCATTTCCCTTGCACTATAATTATAAAATCCAAACCAAGGATTTAAATGATGGGCACTTGCAATAAAAACATATTTGTCCCCATGCCAGGGGAGCCTGGCCCCACTACAGACTTGCTTACAAACGTGGACTAAAAAACAAATCATTTTTTTAATTTTAAATCCTTGCCTGGTGTCCTGTGGCCACATGGCTGCTAGCAGGTAGTCAATATGAACTGGACTATGCAGTGCCTCTACAGTGGAGCAGCCTCCATCTAATGACGATGGTGGTCTAGGTCTTTTGGTCTATCATGCATTCCTAATTCAGTTCCCTTCTGTCTTCCCTTTTTCATGCCAACTGGGCACTGGCCAACAACTTTTCTCTTTTTCGTTACTTAAATGCCTTGTGTGTGCACAAGTTCCTAGTATATGCTACAGGACCATTTCCAAATTCTGGATAAGGCCCCACCATTTCCTGCTGGCATATAGGAAAAAAAAATCTCTTCTTCCTAACAGCATATCAGCATTTACCAAGACAAAGTTCCTTAGTGCTTCGGGTGTGGATTCTCTCTACAGAAGGTTTTTTGAGAAGTCACTTTCAGGTTTTGGTAGCAACCGCAAGTGTACTGGTATCCTGGACTACAAAATCCCTTGGTCTCCTTTACACAAAACCTTTCTCCAATTACAGAGCAGCTCTTTTCTTCTCTGCCTCCTCACATTCTCACTTAGCATATTCTTTTCTTTGCTTCAATAGCTACTGGACTTGAATCTCAATGCTGCATGGTTATTTGTGGCTTGGCTTTTTCTCTGTTGTATGATGTCTTCAAGTCTCTAGACTAACTGGCTCCTGGCTCTTCGCTGAGATTTATATACTGTTTTCAAGGCATAAAAAGACTCATTTCTTCTACATCTGTACTCTTCAGGATGTAGTGGCTTGTTAATTACCTCTCTATTCTGGTAAAAATTTAAAGGAATACAGTCAATTTTTATTAACCATATCTCAGTAACTAACATTTAAAGGAGTTTTAGTTAAGTACTTCTTTAAAACTTACTAAGTTTAACTACTTCAACTATATTAAATGTATTTTAGAGATTTATAGATAAAGCTTCCCATATACTGTGAAGCACTGTCACCTTTGAAGAGTACAATATTTGTAAGCAGAAATACAAACTTTATTTCAATAAAATACAATTGTGTACACACTTTAAAAAAAAATCATTTTGGAACCTCACAATCTTCATGCAAGAGAGAAGTCTGACCGAGACAACCTGAACTACTAAATCTTCCATTTCACAGGGTGGGTCCTTCCTACTGATAGGAAACGGAAAAATACTGCAAATTCTTGTATCTTCACGTGTCTGGTCCTCTTTGTTGTGGCTGTCTCCCAGTGCAAGTAATCGAGAATAGGCCAACTGCAATGCATACAGCCTATCCTGGATTACTTGAACCAGGTAACAGCCTTTTCCAGGAGAACTGAGGAATACTGTCCTTCGTGGAAAGAAAGATTACATTTAACATTGTTCTGCATAAAAAGGTCACACACAATATCCCAAACAAGCATAGTAAACATATGTTTCCATCAGCTTAAAAATGCAAAACATTTTTTTCTGTATTGACATATTATTCAAGCAATAAAAAGCTATAGTTTTTGTTCATGTCAGTGCCTGGCATCTTAGATTCACATAATAATAAGGGAAAAAAACCCAGTTCCAAACTGTGCTAAATAAAGCTATTTCTAACTGCTGTATCTACTCCAACTGTTCCAGTATAAGACAAAGTTATGTAACCACCCTAATAAAGGAGCACTGTATACAAAGGATTTTCTGGGTATAATGGGGTGCTATGCAACTGCCAGGACAGCAAGTTACCAAAATCATTATATGGTAAAAAAACAGAGAACCCTCCATTAGTGTGAAGGCTTCAAACTGCTGGAACCACATTTTAAAAAAAGCAATCTATCTTTTCTAAGACCATCAAAATACTCACGATTTTTTCCGGGTGCTAGAATTAAATGTTAATTTTTAATGAACAGGCTCTTGACTGATTAACATGGAAAAAGGTGTTATGTAATGATGCCAAAATTATGCATTAATTTTACACATTGCTATGTCTCATCTCAGTATGCCATTTTCATTTATAAAAACACCCACGTTTATAAAGCCTTCATGAATTACAACATCTTTTTCATTGATCTTGCAGAGATTTATGATAAATAATTTGGTAAGGCACAGGAAATTAAGTTCATCCTTTTTTTCTTTTCTTTTTACTTTTATAGAGCCAGAAAGAGAGACCTGAGAAAGGGACTGTGTTATTATCTGACCGATACAGCATCTGTTTATATTGGACGTGCTCTCTTAGGTATTTGTGCTACAATTTACTCCAGCAAGAGAAAGGCTAATTTAGCCTTTCAGTGTCACCTGAAGATTGTAATTTAAAAAAAAACAATAGTTTAATAGATAATGTGTGCATTATACATTGCTGTGTATTTACGAGAAGCAATTTGAGGCTTCTTGTAGACAAAACCATGCTAATATATTTTGTTGACAGAAAGAAAAACCAATAAAAAGTTGTTTCCAAACAGGCAGTTTAGAAAATTACAGAGCAGCAAAACTTGTACACTCTGCTTGTCTTCTAAGGGAACCTATTTAAGGTGAAAATCAGGTCTGGTAATACTGCTCTGAATAACCTCTGCTCTGAAAAGGTGCTATTACTTTCATACGAAGTGGATTATGACTTTATCTACTGTCAGGATAGTTTCATAACATGTTAGTGCTTGTCTAATATCCTATATTAAATAAACAGACTTTCCAGTGAAGATTGCTTAATCTTTGTTTTCTTTCTTGTAGACTTTAGTCAGAATACAGGGATTGCAGATTCTGACAGATAATAACTGTTGTTAAATCAGTTTATACTATGCTCTACCAAATGAGAAGTAGCTTGTGATGAGGCAGAAGATCATAACAGCCCTGTCCACTCAGAGAGCGAGAGACCTTTGGGACACAGCTATCTACTTAGAAAGATGTGTGACATGTAGTACAATTAGGTCCTGATCCAGATGTTATCATAATCCAGTGTAATTTAGTATAATGCAGCAAGTTTGTGTGTTATGTGTCATGTTTGAGACTGGCTGGGGAAGAAACTTTTAGGTATTAACTAACAGGAGATATTTTAATCAGCACGCAAGCTCAATACATCAAAAAATTAAGATATAAAAAGTCCAGTAAGGAGTGGGGGCAAGTTTAAGTATAAAAATGTAATGTTAAAATCTGGGGAAGAAACCTTTAAGCATTATGTTAATTTGGGCCAAGATTTTCAGAAGTGACACACAGCTGAATGCATCAAAATTTCAAAGAACTATCTGAGATGCCTTTCAATGGGTTTGATTTTCACAGAACAGATGGTCAACACCTCCTGAAAGGCAGGTTCATGTATGGTTTCTGAAAGGAAGAGCTTAAAATTCGAGGTAGGCCAAAAAAACCCCCAAAAACAATCACATGACTTTGGAAAATCTTTTTCATATTGTCCCAAGCCTGCTGGGTACTTAGAGGACTACAAGGAACCCTGACATGCAAAACTTAAATGTAGACGTGCACTGGGGTGAGGGCCATCCGGATTTCTAGTTCTATTTTTCCTGCT